TCTGGCGATCTCTTGCTTATGTCACGACCATTAATTGGCAGTATACAAAGGTGTTAATGTAAAAACGTAAATACAGAGTGTCCCAGGAGGAAAGGCCAATATTCTGAGATGTCATATTATCTGTTATTCTAAGCAAAAAAATTATATATGTACATTTGTCCTGTTCCGAACCGTTTCCGAGATACAGCTATTTCACTGCACTGTACACTGTGCACTGTACAGACGAGCAACACGTCATGTCCTCACACGAGATGCAAAATTCCNCACTGCACTGTACACTGTGCACTGTACAGACGAGCAACACGCCATGGAAAAATTCACTGATGTTGACGGTGGTAAGCATTACGCCATGAAGGTGCATGGGGAAGTGGATATATAGTTCCACATTTTCTTGACCTCGGTACTAGGTGGATGTGAGTGGTCAACTTCACGTTCCGGCCGCTTTACCCCCTGGGAAAGAGCCCCCGATACCCACTGGATAGGAGGTTGGGTGGACCCCAAAGCCGATCTGGACGACGTGGAGAAGTCAGAATTCTTGAACCTATCGGGACACGAACCCCGACCCCATGGTCATCCAGCCTGTAGCCAGTCGCTACACCGATTGCACTATCCCGGCGTCTGATGTTGACGGTGGAATTTTCGAAAATGTATTATACTAGGTTTCGGCTTCCATAAAATGCTGGGAAATTCTTGAGTAGCTGCAGAATTGGCGGCTCCTCCAGAAGGGCTCAGCTTCATGAGTAAGTATGTAAGTAAGTAAGTAAGTAAGTATTATACTAGGTAAACTGCACTAACTTTGTCACTTGAACAATAAATACCGGTATTAGAGACAGTACGTAATATCTCTTTCTTATCACCAGTTTTGGAACTGTACAGTGAAACAGCTCTATCTCGGAAACCGTTCGGAATAGGACACATGTACATATACACATTTTTGCTTCGAATGACCGACACTACGACCTCCCAGGATGTTGACCTCTCCTCCTGGGGCACCACGAAGTGCGATATCAGTGTCTGGACATTTTATTTTATTGTGAAGTTTCAAGAAACTTAATCTGTTCTCAGTTCGTGGCGGAAGGGGGGATTTCTCGTCATTTGGGGGGCGATATTTAGGTTTGAAGCGCCGCTGAACGTCATACTGGAGTTTTCAAGATTATGATGCTTCCAGCAGCGCATAGCGTCGGATGGTAGAACGAACGATAAATTGAAAATTATTTAGCAGGAAGCGATCCTGGCCTGATTGAGGTACTATCCCGGAACTTGCGTTAAGGGACTGAGGAAAGCCAAGCAAAATCCCAGTCAGGATATCCAGTGCCTCGGCCGAATTCGAAATGAGCACTTCCCGGATATAAGTCTAGAGAGTTAGCACTAGACTAGCCTGCTTGCTGACACCGTGCGGTATGTCGTTACCGAAGTTTCGGAACAAATATACTGCCGCCATCTTCAGGGTGAGAATATGGAGGCAGTAAAGGTACCTCTCTAAACCGTTTGTAACCACCTGTCGTACTCTTTATCGCCACGTAACCTCAAGTCTCAGGCAAACTCTGTTCAATGGCAGATTTGATATCAGCCCCCGAGGACGAACCCAGCTATGTCTAGTGCATGGCGCTCTGGATGGAGCCCAGAACCTTCTTCGTGGTGTTGGGTGAAATTCCAAAACTGGGCACTAAATGATTCATAGGGCTGTTACAGATGCTAGGGACCCGGGACAGCTCAGTCGGTATAGTGACGGGCTGAACTGCTTGCCCGACAGGGGCAAGAGATTCTTCTCTATACCACAGCGTCCAGACCGGCTTTGGGGCCCACCCAGCCACCTATCCAATGAGAGCCAGGGGCGATTTCCTCGGGGGTAAAGCGACTGGGCCGTGAAGCTGACCATTCCCATCTAGTGCTGAGGTTAAGATTGGTGGAGCTAAACCTCCGCTCCCAAATACGTCTCCACGGCATGGAGCATAATTGGTTAAGCATAGAAATAATTTTATTTTCTATCACAGAGGCTGAGAGACTGTCGGGAAGAGTCAACGTGGAAACTTGACAGAGAAAGGAAGGAGGCTTGGCATATTTTAACGATTTCAAACACACTGTTTACTGTGCATGGGCACCGGTATGGGGGTACGAACAAGTCTTCTGCCTCCCCCCTGGATTATGGAAAAAACGAAGAAAATAGAAATATTTTAAAATATGGTACCGTCTATATTGTAGGATGGGGAGCGCCAGGCACTTTCCCCTCCTCCTGGATTTTGAGAAAAGAATTTGAAGAAAAGATATATATACCGAAAATAAAAATATTTTTAAATGTGGTACCGTCTACATTGTCCGATGGGGAAAGCCAGGCACCTGCCCCCTCCTCGATTAAAAAAAAATCAAAACTAACGAAACATGTTTAAATGTGGCACCATCCATATTTCAGTCTATATACGATTCTAGGGCGAAAACATTCCCAAACGACTTAAGGTCCGTTCATATCATCCTGCATTGATCGTTTCATACACGTAGCGTTTCCTGAACGACATTTGTGCGAACTTTTCATATCATCGGACATGGAACCATTCGAGCTCATACTTTCTTGTAAGCATGTTGCATCTATCTACTGATGAATTGTGTGTTATATAAATTTTATTATTAGAAGAAGAGAATATTAATTAATTAATTAATTAATTAATTAATTTCTACTTGTGTAGCAATACAGTGTTATCAGAGGTTATTATAATAACTACTGAAAACACTGTATTATTATAATTATAATAATTATTATAATAATATCTAAGTCCGTCCGACGTTTGCACAGGATTTAGTGCTTGTTCTTGTACCGTGTTAAATTCTTGAGAAAAATTCATATTTCTTTGAGAATTTTGTTTCTCCTCATATGTTTGAGAGCTCCAGCTGTCACTTGATTAGCTATAGGGTAGATGGGCCGGGAGAACAAGTGGGTGTAGTCGCTGAATGGTGTATGAAGACGACTGACTCTTTCATACTGTACGTATTGCTTCCGTTATGGTCCGGCGCAGAACGTTCAGAAACGTAGCGTATCAGACAAATGTTCTCTCCGAGAATCCCGCATGGAGATGGACCGTGCCGCACCGTACAGGAAACGATTGAAGCATGATGATATCAATGTATCTATAAATACAGTACTAAAGAATATTTGTCGTGCAGGAAACGCTACGTGTATGAAACGATCAATGCATGAATTGACCTTTATACGTAATTCTGTATGCAAATTTTCTTCCTGACCTTCTCCCCGTTTTGATAACATAGTAACGGTATCTATGGCCATATATATCTATATCAGTTTCTTACCTATTCACTTCGATAGACTATAGGCGTATTCGCAAGCCGGGTTNTATCCCTTTAAAGCCTAGTGGTAGCTATATGTACCACCTGCTTTGACATACTAAAACACTGAATTCTGCACACACAGTGTATTTGTGGGTTCCGTATGGTTCTCACAATAAACAGCGACTGTTTCCCTAAGGAGCATTAACCGGTTGGGCTCTGTAGGGGAGACGTAATGTGTTTCCTGCGAGGCACGAACTGAATATTACTTAAAAGAAAATCAGCCTTTAAACGGTTAACACGTGAAAATTATCGGCATATATTGTCATTATCATATTTGTATTACTGGATTATGTATCATGATTAAGAAAATACGTGGGTAATTTCATAAATAATGCACAGGTTGGCAACACTGCGGATTATATGATGCAACAACAGTGAGCCTCACGTCAGTAACAGTTCAGGGCTTGAGAAAGAAGCGCGTTATTTTGTTTCATTTATAATGTACTCTGTTCCTAAATAACGTGAGTTAGAAATGGAGCCAGCACAGTTCTCGGGTATTGTGACTGTTGAAGATCAAAGGTCGTACATTAAGATCGAAACTTTACGTGGAAAAAACCCGACAGAAATCCACAGTGCTTTAAGTGAAGTTTGTGGCGAGTTAACAGTGGACCGTAGTACAGTTTCTCGTTGGGCTAGTCGTTTTCGTGGCGGTCGTGTGAGCATAAACGATGATCCAAGGCCAGGAAGGCCGAAAACATCAACAGATGAACGAAGTGTGAAACTTGTGTCAGATGCTCTTGAAGAAGATCGTCGTGCGACATGTGAGGAACTTTCTGAAACCACGGGGATTCCGAATTCTTACAAAGGATTTAAAGAAGAGAAAGATTTCTGCGCGATGGTTCCCTCACTGCTTGACTGCTGAACAGAAGCAGAAACGCCTCGACATTGAACCTTGATGAAAAAAATATTCGACGTTGTATCGACTTGTCGCTATTGATGAAACGTGGGTTGGAGACTTTGAACCGGAGCTGAAATCACACTCCAACGAGTGGAGGGGTCCATCTTCCCCATGACCAAAAAAATTTCGACGATCTCAATCAAAGATCAAACAAATGATTATCTTTGCTTATGATCACCAGGAATCATCGTGACAGAGAGAGTTCCGTGCGGGAAAAGTGTCACAGCAGTTTATTATCATGACTTTATGCAAAATCTGAGCAGAAAAATGCACAAAAACCGACTTCAGTTGATCGAGGCTGCGCCTATCATTCTCCATGACAACGCTCGCCCGCACATCGGCAATGTTGCAACAGAAAAGCTGTGCCAATACGGTTGGGAGGTGTTGCCTCATGCTCCCTACAGCCCGGACGTGAGTCCACCAGACTTCGACTTATTCCCAAAGTTGAAACAACCTATGCGAGGCCGTCGTTTTCCCTCTCTGAAAGAGCTTTCTGCTGCAGTACCCGAGCCTTCGACAGATAAAGAAAGATGGTGTCCTGGATGGAATAGTAAAGCTTCCCATACGTTGGGACTCGGTCATTGAGAAGCAGGGGGACTATATTGAAGGACTGTAAAGAGATATTAAAAAAATTAAACATGGACGTAAACAAAAAATTGTGTGCATTATTTCTGAAATGACCTACGTATAACGCTCTAAATAAAACACCAAACATATTGAGCCGGCACACGTACATCATACGACAAGAGAATAATCTACTTACTTATTTAACATCAGCGTTATGTTGCCTATTCCTCCTTTGATCCGTGGTCGTCCGGGTCGTCCGTATCTGCGTTTGAACTACAAACGACAGGCTACAACTGCATAAGGTATTGTGCATTAGACTTCTGTTGCGTCTGCGTAAATTGTAGGCCCATTCGTGTTGGTTAAAACAGGTCACGTGTTCTGTCAAACAAGCTCTCATTTTATTCAAATCTTTGTCCCTCAATCAGGCGTCTAAAGAAGCATACACGACCTCGATCGGTCACCTAATTATGCATAGGAGAACAAAGCCAGTCCTTACTGAGGACAAAAAAAAAACCATAAATATACTCTCTGGGCGAAATGTCAACTTTTTTTTTAATTCGCTTAGTGGGGTGTGGAGTCCAGCTGGGTCCACTTGGCACGGCGGCCACTGATTAGCTTATTGTATCTGCCCCGGGTGATTATGATGATGGAGAATTTGGTAGAATGAAGATTGGCAGGGGAAACCGAAGTACTCGGAGAAAACCCGCCCCAGCGCCACTTCGTCCACCACAAATCCCACTTGAAGAGACCCGGGATCGAACCTGGGCCGCCACGATGGGAAACCAGCGACTAACCGCTTGAGCTATGGCGCGGCCCAAATGTCAAGTTACTGAATGTTAAAGTAGCAGGTACACATAATTATCACTGTCCTTTAATGGTTTAAATTGCTAGTGGCCTATCATTATTCACACTTCTGGGTATTTTCTATTGCGACATCGATATCCTGACTGACGTTATCATGGTCTTCCTCAGTATCTTCAAGAAAATTCTGGGATAGTACCTTGACTAGATCTATATCCCTAAGATATACTGTTTTAACGTAAAGAAGAGGAAGGCAGGAAGGGGGAGAGGGATAGCCCGTGTCTGGCCATGTGGGATTTTCGGTGGACAAAGTGGCGCTGGGACACATTTTTTCCTAGTACTTCGGTTTCCCTTGCCAATTTTCATTCCATCAATTGCTCCACAGTTACCATCATCTACCATGTGGGGCTGGTACCATAGGCCAATAGTGGCCGCAGTACCAAGTGGACTCAGCTTAACCCCATTAAAAAGTAAGTGAAGTAAACGGGTCTGGTCAAGTGGGATTTGTGGTGGAAAAAAGTGGCGCTGGGGAGGGTTTTCTCCGAGTACTTCCAAATTCTCCACCATCATAATCACCCGGGGCAGGCTGCAATAGGCCAATCAGTGGCCGCCGTGCCAAGTGGACCAAGTTGGACTCCCCCCCCCCCATGCGAAGTAAAGTAAATACATCCCTGTAACAGGCTGTGGAGGCCTATAGGATTGTGAGATGTTGAGGTTCCCACATTTTCTAGATAATCGGCTCATAGATGGCGGTAAGGTTGTCAGCCTTACGCGCCGGCCGCCCTTTACTCCGAAGAATATTCCAAGAATATTCCTGGTACTTATTTCTGTTAGAGGCTGAGTTGACCCCAGGGCCATAGTGCGGCTGGAAGGATTAGGTAAATTGAAGAAATCCGCCTCATCGGGATTCGATCCCGCGACCTTCCGGCTTGTAGCATAGTGCCCCAACCAACTACGATACCGCTTGCGAATAATAATAATAATAATAATAATAATAATAATAAGAAGAAGAATAAAGGGGAGAAGGATGGTGATAAGACGGACAAATGAAAAAGACACGGAATAAGGAAGGCGGAAAGGAAGGAGATAAAGGTATGGATGTTCGTATATGAATAACAAATGAAGTTACTTCTCGCTGAATATTCAGCAGGTATTACACTAGTACACAAATTTTACAGCTCTAGGGCTTGAAAATGCACATTTCTACATCCATTCCGTAAGTTGCAGTCCCATCAAAGTGTACGTATGTGATACGATCTGAGGTTGGTAGATTTCGTGCGTTCGGATAGCTCTATCAAAGATTCATGGTATTGGTCTCACCGGACTGAATAATTCCGCGTATCTCACGCATTCACAGTGCATCGCTTTTACTGCATCTGTAAATCTACGCATGTCAACACCGCAGAATTAGTGGCTCGCCATAAAATATTAACCACAAGACTGCCACTTGGGGAGATCGTACCCGCCAGTAAAATCTCAGGGTAGATCGTCTTTGAGTCCAATAGCTGTACTGTGCTTCAGTTTCGCTAAGGAGACGATGATGGCGAAGTTTCAAGAAATCAAAGTACGGCAAATTTATAGCAAAGAATGGAAATTGACAGGGAAAACCGGAGTACGCATTTAACAATCATTTTCGCTCAGCGAGACCGAGAGTTGCTGTGTATTAATAACATTTCTGCTTCCTATTCGGGGATTCCCCGTGTTCTCTTTGTTTATTTAGCCACATGCATGCCACATACGGAACATACCAACTAGATCGGCTTGAGTTTATTGCAATAAAACCGTCACAGCCGAAGATATCTGTTTTTAATAAATTGGTATAACACTTTTCTCAATAGATGGCATTAATTATGGAGCACCGACTGCCGATATTAAGAAGATATACGTATACCTTCTTCAAGTACAATTAGAAAGATCAAGTCAAAGAGGATGAGATGGGTAGGGCACGTAGCACGCACGGGGAGAGAAGGAATGCATATGGGATTTTGGTGGGAAAGCCAGAAGGAAAGAGACCACTGGGAAGATATAGACGTATGTAGGAGAGTAATATTAAAATGGAACTTAGAGAGATAGGATGGGATGGTATAGACTGGATTGATCTCGCTGAGGGTAGGTACAAGTGTAGGGCTCTTGTGAACATGGTAATGTACCTTCGGGCGCCATAAAATATTGGGAAATTGTTGAGCAGCTGAGCGACTGGCGGTTTCTCAAAGATGGCTCAGCTCAATGGAGTTAAGTATTATCACGTGTATTAGTGACTAAGACGCGGGTTTTGATCGGTGAGTCTATCTGTTGGATATTCACTAGTCATAACTACAAATAATTATAACACTCTCAAGATTACTGTAATTATAACACATAAATAAAGTCTACTATATCTGCTTTCACTAGTCGTTGCTAGGTAACAGATCTCAACTATAGCCAAGCCTTGAAAATGTCTTCACGATCCGTTTCCGGGTAACGGATTTTTAACAGAGGAACTATAGAAGCCTCACTAAATCACACACTCCCAATGTCACTGTACTACTGCACATATAAAGTATTCGAATCACACGATAAATCTTCACAGGCTGACTTTTTGTATTCTTCTGTACTCCTCAAGCTTACTGCTTGCTTGCTTGCTTGCTGTACTCCAGCTTACCGCTATACTCCGGCTCTTTACTGTACAGCTTAGGAATTCTACTCACTTACAAAGACGCAGCACAGACACGGACCTACAGAAAAACATCACGTGATAGTTATCCAGCCAGTTAATTGGCGCCATGGCTGGACCTACGGATAACACATGTAACGTGATTGCTAAGCACTGTTGTGTGACGTCATTGAGCATGCGCAAGCTGCACAGACATAAAGAAAACATTGCTGCTATATTGTTTGCAGTGTGTGTGCTGCGGGCGTTGTCTGGCAATGGATTTACATGTCAAAGTATATTTCACATGAAACACTTCTTCTGTTGTTTGAAGGTCATCTGAGAGAAATACTGCGAAGTTTTCCGTGTGACTGCATGTATTCCCGAACAACGTTGATATTTCTTGCAGGTGGTTCTATGGCGAGGCTTGTAGTTAAGAGGATTAAAGAGCCTCTTGCTATCTCAGGCGACATAGTGTCGAATGGTAAAATGATTAGCGAATAATGACTTGGAAAGGAAACGAAAGGAAGCGGTTGTGGCCCAACTTGAACTATTATCACGGCACGTGCATAAGAAATACTAAAAATGCTTCAGTCAGAATAGTCGATATCCCGGTCGAGATTCGATTCTAGCACCTTCCAAATACAATTCTAGAGCATTACCGCTACACTGACCTGCTATGTTTCGATACCACCGCGCTATTCTTCTTGCAGGAATCTGTCGAGAGGATCTCGTGTCTGCAGCAGTGCATGTGCCGGAACGCGCTCAATACAAATGCCCATCTCATCTGGCCACACCGACGCTCCACTTTGATATATGAGACAGAACTGGTCTCTGGGGAACCCCCGCGCGCTCAGAGGGATTACCGGCAGCTGTGCCATGACTTTCCTCAGATCCTCCATACTGAGACCGCTTCGCTATGCGTACATCATCACCCCAACAGCATTAGGCGGGCGGCGAGGTTATTAATACATATATGACCGCAGTAATCCAAACATCCCCAGGATATCTGCAAAATTCAAAACACAGTTACAAGATTATCCACCCTCTATGTTTACCACTTTACCATATGACAAACGGTTTGTAGAGCTGTATATTTGATTTGGTACGGGGAGAAACAGAACTTACGTAAATAAGAGGGCCCGAAATACATTACACAAATGTTCTTATTTCTCCAGAACTATCCACCGACGAGAAAAGGCCAAGGTTTATTTATTTTTTTTTTTTTTTTTTGTATTTCTTAGTTTCTTGAGGTGGGGTGAGACTGAGCCCACTTACTGGCCTGTTGTGCCAGCCCTCCATGATAGAAGAGTACGGAGAATTTGGGTGAATGATTCTGATTCTTGTTAAAGCAAGTGTCACGTAACTTCGAACAAAGCCAAGAGTAACCTTGAATGTGCAGAAGACAAATTTCAGGCAAGGGGGTGGGTTCTGCGCATTCAAGGTTACTCTTGGCCTTGTTCGAAGTTACGTGACACTTGCTTTACGTAACAACGCTGCTCAAGCCGAAGAGTGTCGTGTAGGGCCTAACATGGGACTATAATTTCAGAAAATATGAACATAGAAGGAACATTTTCGATATAAGATTCTAGCATTCGCAACAGCAGCCTGTGTAGAACCACGAAAAATATGATACGTGATCAATGAGTTGAGATTTGAAACCTCTGATCTCACAACTAAGAGATTAGGAGTGCCAACCAGACAAAAGTGAAATTAGATACGGAGTATTGTAGTTTTCTCCATTCCTTACAAATGTAGTTCTCTGACTACAATAACATAGGACAATCCACAAATTTATCCACAAATCCAACAAACAGCCATTTGTTGGGCCTTGGCCGCTTTTTCAGTTTCTTGATCCCATACACAGTCGGTAAGACTCCTCTGACGGGGGATCAGACCGCCGAAAGGTCCTTACCTACACACAGAACACAAACACAGAATAAACGCGCACAATACAGAGTAGGATTTGAATTCATGATCCCAGCGTTCGAGCGAGCGAAGACAGTCCATGCCTTAGACCGCGCGACCGCTGTGATCAGCTATAATCCACAAATACTTTTATTTAAAATTTCCACTCAAAATTAATCATTATTATACAATCGACGGGGATTTGTCAGTAGTGTACTCCCTTCAAATTGCGTCGTCAATTGAAAGTGGTATATCTGAGCAGTCTGGGTACGTACGAAGAATACAGGACTCATGGAACTCTCTATACGATACTGAATCAGTTGTGTAATATTTCCCTCACTCCAAAACGTTTCCACCCTTCAATGTTTCAGTAATAAGACAAACTGCCGCATATCTCTAGGGAATAGGGAGGAATTTGTAGCAGCTTTTATCTTCGGATAATACGATAATAAATTTGTTTCTGTTTGCTAGCCTGGAGCCGAGAAGGGATGAACTGTGAGCTGCTGACACCTACATCTACCTCTGAGAATTACAACCGAGAGAATCAACACAACAACACAAACAACTGCGCGCCGCTACACCAGAGGCGGAGGTAAACAGCGGCATTAACTCAATACAACAGAAAAGTTCCTCCTCTTAGATCTTAACTCTTAAAGTAGAAGTAAAATTATCCGTGGGATCCCCCCCACCTTGTTGCGATGAAGGGACTTAGGTGACTCTGTGACCTGGAGAGCTATGCTGGCGGTAGTTTAACTACCAGTAGGGTCACCCATGCCGGAAAGATCAAAAGGTAGGGTCCAGACTAAGATACCCCAGTCCTCCAGGTTGGGAGTTGGGCATGAGGCTAACAACCTCATCCTGTTAAAAGAACTTTGTTCAGAAACGTAACAAGCAGCCTCGGGTCATCATGCGTGGGTCCATTCCTATGGCAGCACGCACTGGTTGTGGAGACTAGTTGTAGAGGAGGCTAAGGCTCACCCAGGGCTGTAGCGCCGAGTGGTAGGTAGGTAGGTATCCATGGGATTATTGATTTAAGCACCATGTCAGAAAGGCGTATGGGGGAATGGAGTTATATCTCCATCACTCTTGAACTCAGCTATAGATGGAGCTGAGTGGTCAGCGCTTGTCGCTTTACCCCCAAGGAAGTAGCTCCCAGGACCCATTGTTTTGGAGGCTGGATGGGCCGCAGGTTCGGTGCGGACGTTACGAAGAAGAGAAACATCTTTTGCCCCTGCCGTGAATCGAACCTCGACTCCTTTGTCCTCCAGATCGTAGCCTAGTCGCCATACCGAATTAATTATCCCGACTCTGAACTTAACTCTTACACGACAAAATTATTTTTATTAATTTGAATTGATGATACTGTGTTCACGGCCGTTTTGAGTAGAAAGGATTTGCGGGATTGATTTTGGAACGGCCGTTAAAAATGTAGATCCCAGAGAACAAAAAATTTTATTTAGTCTAATGGTGGGCTTTTGTGAATATAACAATGAACCTTCGTGTTCTTCGGGTATTCCTTGAATATCGTAGGGTCTCGCAGCTTCTTAACACGAATTCTGCTCCATCGAGGTGGGTGAGTTTACGAAACATTCAATATCACAGACTACAAAGCATCGAATGATATTAATACGTCATGACAGTGATGGGAGGAAGCGGAGAGAACATTTGGACCGAAGAGAGATGTAGTGACGGGAGGTTGGAGAAATCTACGTAATGTGAAGCTTCATAACTTGTACTCTTCTCCAAGCATAATTAGAATGATCAAGTCAAGGAGGATGAGATTGGCATGGCATGTAGCATGAATGGGGAGGAGCGGAATGCATATAGGGTATTGGTGGGAGAGCCAGAAGAGACCACTACGAAGAACAAGACGTAGGTGTGTGGACAATATTAAAATGGATCTTAGAGAGACAGGATGGTATGGTATGGATTGGATGGATCTGGCTCAAGATAGGGACGGTAATGAACCTTCGGGTTCCATAAAATGCTGGGGAGCTCTTGAGATTAGCTGCACAATTAGCGGATTCTCAAGAAGGGCTCAGCTCCATGAGTGAGTGAGTGAGGGGAAGCGGTCGTGGCCTAATCGGGGTATTATCCCGGCATTTTCCTGGAGGGACTGAGGAAATCCACTCAAAAACTCAGTATAGACGGTGTGCCAGCCGAGATTCGAACTTAGCACCTCCCGTATACAAGTCCGAGAGCGTTAACGTTGGACCAACATGTTCGGTTGTTCCACGGAATTAGTTGTGCTCCTCCGTGATTAATGAGCCTCGTGCTCACATCCTGAGGTCTATTTCTGAGAACATGACTATACCGCGGTTTAGGCGCGTCTCACATAAACGTCACGACTCGTTGCATGTCAACCCGGATCCTGTATTGACTGAATTCACCTTCACATTCATACAATTTATGCGAACATATGTTCACCTTACGATGTCATTTTTTGCGAGACTCGCCGTAAATTTTTAGCCTATTTTCCTCTTTTTTTTTTGCATTTTTTGGTCAGCTCACATATAGGAAAATAGAACTTGAAATTAAGCATGGATAGGAGGAAAGTATTGAAGTGAATCTTCAACAAATATGGCGCAATGGCGTGAAATGCGTTCAGTTGGTTCAGGATAAAAGCTACTGGATAATTCTTGTGAACCGGCAATGAATATTCGGTTTCCATAGAAGATGATGCATTTCTGGACTAGATGGTCGACTACTGGCTTCTCAAGAAGTTTTCCTTGTGGAGACAGCAGAGCTACCGTAAAGCAAAAAGAAAAACGCAGTGGCCCGTAGTCAGCAAGCGAACTATACCGACCGAGCGACTGCCGCTTGTCGGCGAAGTTAGTGCCAACTTTTGCGGATAGAGGGTGTCGCGTGGTCAGCGGAACGGAACCCCATGGCTGTTAATGTCAGTTTTCTAGACTGGAGCTGCTATTTCCTTGAAATAGCTCTTCAGTTATCCTCACGAGGCTGAGTGGATTCCGTTCCAGACCCACTACTTCTCAGAAAATCTAGTAGCCGGGAATCGAATCCGGGATCTCTGGATCTTTAGCCAGGAATTCTGGCTAGTAAACCACAGAGGCGGTCATGGCTACCGTATAAGTTCGAATTTATGGCGACCCCCTATTTTTACAATGAGGAAATCAGAAAAAAAAGGAGTTCTTTTGACAAAAGAAGTAAAAAAATGTACTGGACTAAAAACCCGAAAACAAGGCGATCCAGCTTTTCTAAGACGCAGCATTTGAAGAGAAAACCTCGCCTTATACTCGTATTAGAGTCAATACGGTAGTTAGTGAGTTAGGAGCAGGAGTAAGGATTTCAGTCACAGTGGTTGCTGTGTTTACCACATGTCTTAATATTAAGGAAAGAACGCTGCACTTTTCCCACGGTGTACATATTTCATGAGATTCTCAAAAGCGATTATAACTCCAACAGCTTTTAAGTGCTCAGAATTACTGGGGTTTCGGACTTTGTCCAGCGTCCTGTATTCTTAAAAAAAAGTTTCGGAAACTGGATCTGTTGCCGTCTTCATGTTAAGGGAAAGACACCTACTCTGTCCAGTGATTGAGATTAGGTCTTTCTAAGGGCCCCAACAGTATAGTTGTCTTCCCCCTCACATGAGGATGAAAACAGACCCCCATTTGTGAAACGGTGTGTTTTCGGTTTTTAGAATGACGGACGATGGACAAAGCCCGAAAACCCAGTAATTCTCAGTGTTATACACCATCTCCAGACTCCTTTAGAATATAATAACTTTTTTTAAGTGGATTCGAGAATCAGTTATGTTTTATGTTAGGTAGGGACCAGTTTTTAAACATTATTTAGGTGACAGATAAAAATTAATTCAGATCATACGCAGTGAAGCCCCGGCTCATATTCCTAACTGTTTACCTTTTCCACTTTCTAAAGCTTTACCGACTCACAAACGTAACTCTACCAGCACTAGCGGACATTGCCTGGGAACCTTAAAAATTGCCCCCCCCCTTTCTCTTCTCAACAGATTCAAAAGGCAGAGACCAGTCCCAGTTTCGGTGCAGCTATAAGATACTGCGTTATGACGTGAATAAAATAGTTTCAATTTCCTCCACAGGGAGAAGGAGATGGGATCGC